TCTGTCTGTCTGTCTGTCTGTCTGTCTGTCTGTCTGTCTGTCTGTCTGTTCAAGTAGAATTCATTTCACTAAAATCAACAACTGCTCAACATTTACATAGATTAAATAAAGTACTGACCACAAGAGACTTGAAGCTTTGTATTAGACAGATTACTTTAGACATAATGTTCACTGTGATGCATTTGGCTGGATTAGTCTGTTGCTGAAGGTGCTTGACCTCCCACCCACTCCACAGTGTGCTGGTCAAACACAGGAGCACCTTCAGCAGCAGACCCATCCAGCCACGATGCAACACAGAGCGCCACAGGAAGTCAGTTTTGCCTGTGGCCATCGAACTTTACAACTCTTCCCTCTGAGGGTCAGTTTGACTTCATAATTTATATTTCATTATTTATACGTGTAAGAAAGTACAATTTGGAAAGTGCAATTTTAATACTCATATACTTACATATTTTTATTTACAAATTTCTATTTATGCATATATTTATCTTGTGTATATAGATGTATATGTATATATTTATCTTTATTTTTGTCTTTATCATGTTTTTTACTTCATATTCTCTATTCTTTGCTGAGGAGCAACTGTTACATAAACTAATTTCCCCTGGGGATCAATAAAGTGTTCTGATTCTGATGATTCACCGTCCTCAGAAAATGTTGAGTGTCTGCATAGTTTGGAAATTTAATGATAAATAATTGAAAATAATGCTTAATAAAGCATGTTTGATTTGTAAAACTAACTGTAATTTTTCATAGAAAGATTATGTGATTTTTATTAGATGTGGATTCTCCTTCATATCTTCTTTTAAATGCTGCTTTTTGTGCTCTTGAGCAAAGCAGGATTGAAGGAGGAGCATACAGTACAGCATATTAGCTGTTATCAAAATTATATTTTCTGTGAAATGTTTGTTTACTACTGCGTGTGTGTGTGTGTGTGTCTGTGTGTGTGTGTGTGTGTGTGTGTGTGTGTGTGTGTGTGTGTGTGTGTGTGTGTGTGTGTGTGTGTGTGTGTTCCAGGTGTACCTGAGCTATAACAATGTGTCAGCTCTGAAGATGTTAGCTGCTCGAAACAACTGGCGCCTCAGTTCTGAAAAAGACAAGGTATCTGCTGCTCTCTTCTTCTGTTCTATGTGAGGAGTTTGTTCCTGGTCCACACGAGGAGCTGGAGGTTTCATGTGACTGTTTGTTCCCAGGTTCGTCTTTACACCCTGGAGCAGAAGTCCACGCTGAGTTTCAGGGTGGAATCGGAGGTGGACGTTCCCGCTCACAGAGCCTTCTGTCTGCTGGCTGAGCTCAGCAGCAGACCGAGCTGGGACAAACATTATCAGTAATGCTTTTACACGCACACACACACACACACACACACACACACACACACACACACACATTTAGTGAAAGATCAATTGAAGCTTAAACTGTCTCTTCACTGTGTGTATAAAAGTCAGGGTTTACTGTATGAATGAGTCTGCTCAGGAAACAGGTGGAAGTTCAGAGTGTGTATTTATCAAGAGAAGGAAATCACTCCTAACAGGTCAAAAGTGCAAAAATTAAAATTTGAGGAAGCTGCAGAGTCCACACCTGTCAGGAGCTGCAGGAGATCAGAGTCCACGATAAGAAGGTTCTAAAAACATTTTTTAACAACATACGTTTTTTTTGGTACATTTATTTTAAGCCATGTGCATGTACTAAGTTAATGACCTATTGGGAAATACCACTATGAGTTGAAGCTATTCAGTAATTTTTGAATCATACTTTTGCATAGATAACTGTGGTTACTATTTACCAGACACAACAGACACTGTGTAACACTCTGGTCACACAAAAAGACATTTTGGTTTAATCTACAACAGTGAGTCAAACTTAATGCAGATGTAACATGCCTCTGTTATTTATATCAGGCACGACACTGATAATGTCATCTGTGCAGCAATAATGCGTGTACATCAGTGGCAAGATAAGATAAGGTAAACCTTTATTAGTCCCTCTGTGGGCAAAAGTTTCCGTCCCTGGGTGGGCTTGAACCACCAACCTTTCGGTTAACAGCCGAACGCGCTAACCGATTGCGCCACAGAGACAGTTGCGGCTGTTGGTGCCAGCACTGCAATGCAACGTCAATGTGTGGAGTGAACAGAGCTCCCAGTTCAAAAGATCAGTTCAGTGTTGTCCTTGTGTAGAGGACATCAGATATGAAACTGATAAGAACAGATACTACTACACTGCAAAGATGAACAAAAAGGAAGTGAGGTGTGTCCATGTGGTTGGAGCCTGTGTGAAAAGCTCCAACTATCCAGAGCCTCTTCAGCCTCTTTCTCACTGTCTCACCAAACCACATTCCTCCGCCTCTTTAGGTGGAGATGACACAGTAAAGACATTTTAACAAATGAAATCTGTCATCGTGTTGGATTTTTTCTAAAATACACACCTTTTACTAAAAGGTTGATCAGCCTTCACCTTATGGGAATGTTCCATCTGTGCCAGGCCTTTATAACATTTTCAAAAAGGTCAGAGGTCACCATTCTGAGGGCTCCTCTCAGTCTCTCTGAGCTGGACTTGTGGCTACAAAGCATAGACTGTATATAAAACATTTTCCTGAGTGTCGAGGTTGGTGAAGTCCATTTCTGAAGTGATGACAATTCTCTGTAACCCTTCTTGCTGTGGTTCTGCACTCTCTGGGAGAGCAGAGGGCGCAGAGTGTGTGTGTGTGTGTGGGGGGGGGTAAATCCACTTTCTGTAGATCTCTACAGTCGTGAGCAGAGCAGATTCCAGACCAGTTGGTGAGGCCTTCTGTTTTCCACAGCACCAGAGAACAAGCTCTTCAGGATCCCAGAGCGTTTATATTTTTCACTGAGCTACTCAAAGATAGTTTTTGTTTTCCATAATACCCAAACATATTACATCTCACACAAAAAGCACAAAAAGATCCTTTCAGCATTGGTGTGAAGAATCCAGATATTATATATATATTATTATATATATATATATATTATATATATTATATTATATTATATATATATATATACCTGCATCACTGATGATGAACAAACAACAGTTCATCATCCAGCACAAAGTTCATGTTTGTTTAATTTAGACTGGACTCTGGATTCTGGCAGGTTTGTATTTGGAAGTTTGGCCAAATAAAAACACAGGTCACACACATGGATGGTCTAATAATGTGTTAGTATAAGGTCTTATACATACAGCTACATATGCATACATATGTCTTTGAGGAGGTTTGTACTGTCTAACTATATATCAGCATTAAAACCACGTCAGGTAAATTGCAGTTTTTACACTTGTCTTTACACAGATTAAAGAAAGGAGATAAAATGTGTTAGTTATGGAGCTGTAGAGATTCTGGTCGTGGATTTTATTACCTAGACAGAGCAAGGTTTTCCTTTTCTTCCTGTTCCCAGTTTGTATGCTAAGCTAAGATGAGCTAACCATTTCCTGGCTGTAGCTTCATGTTTATCATACAGGCATGAAAGTGATGTTAATGTTTTCATCTAACTCTAAGCAAGAAAGAAAATTAGTGCAATTCCCCAAATGTGGAACTGCGCCTTTAACAATGCAGTCTGTATTTCTTCACTTTATATCAAGGAAACTACATCCTCATCATCAGTGTCTTTTTGTCCCAAATCAGGAAGTGTGAGCTGATCCACCGGGTGGATGATGATGACTTCCTGTATCGTGTGGTCACCCCGTCAGTCCATCACGGTGCTCCTGGTTCTCCGACTTCAGCCAATCTTGGAGCAGGAATCCTGCAGGACTTCATCTTGCTGGCTTCCAAGAGGAAGCCGTGCAGCAGTGGGTCAGTGGAATGACAGTAACAGGTCAAAGGTCCCATCCTCTGTCCTGCAGGACTGACTGTGGATGTTGATGTGTTTCCTCCTCAGAGATCCATATGTCATCGCTCTGCGGTCAGTGTCTCTGCCCACTCACCCCCCCACTGACACATACAACAGAGGGGAGGTCCTGTGTGCTGGATTTACCATCCTGGAAAGCGAGAACAACATGTCGCTGGTGAGACAAACATCAGTTTGATTAAACAGCTGTATTTTTACACATACTCTTAACAAACTTGACTATTATCATTTGGTTCTGTTTCCAGATCAGTTACTATAACCAGGCATCTCCAGAGGTCCTCCCGTACATCTCCACTGACATCGCCGGCCTCTCCTCCTCCTTCTACCACACCTTCTGCTCCTGCAGCCAGTACCTGACTGAGAACAGGCTGCAGCTCACCTCTGAGGAGCAAACTGACCAATACCAGGCAAATCCAGACAGTCTCACCTCTGAGGATGAAGCTGACAGTGTGTCAGTGGTCCTCCACAGCACCCAGCTGTAGACAGGCAGCGGTACTCTCCAGGCCAGTTTACATCACCTAGTGTAGGGTGAAGTCCGTCTGCTGTTTTCACACAAGGTTTGATTCATACTGTCAAAGTGTTCACAGTGAGCACAGGAGGATATTGGCATTAAAACTTTTTAAACTTTGTTTTTTTAATAGGAGTGAGAGATCACATCAGAACAGATCAGTTAAAAAAGATCACAGTAAAGTGAGTAAAGAAAAACTGCCTTAGACACTTTAATATTCAGAGCTGGATGTAAGACACACACCTGGGCTGTATTCTCTAAACATTTTATGTCGCTAAGAGTTCTCCTGAGTCACACTTAAAGTTTGTAACTCAAAGTTTTTCATGAATCCTCTTCACAAAGCTTTCACAACTCTGAGAGTCAGACTCTGTGGCTATGGCTTACAAAGAACCTGGTGCCTCAAAAGAGCCTGTGCAACATCCTGCAGTAATGAATAAAAATAACTGTCACAGATAAACAAATATAGACCTAAATATGGTAGAAATTCAATAATAGCGGATGAGGTGCTGTTTTAAGTAGTGCATTTCCCAAATGCATCTGTATGATGATGTTTGTATGAACCCGGCACTTCAATTAAAAAAAATCAGCACATTTAGTGTTTCCTGATTTGCCCCTCCCATACCTGTCTGTTCACTGCCACAGTTTAAATTCTGTGTAAAATTTTAAAAGATCTAAAGCTGTTTGAGATGTTGCTTCATTGTTGAGCTGTGTGCACCTCAACTCAGCCCATTCTCTCTCTTTCTCTCTCTCTCACTCACACACACACACACACACAAAAATTAGTCCTAAAGTTAGGACTAACACACCCCGTATTTTTCAGGAGCTACTTATGCTTTGTGAATACAGGCCCTGATTTCAAAATAAAGTCTTGTTCAATATTAATTATTCTGTTTGGACACAAGTAAAACTGTGAGACGTGTCATTCAGGATTAGTTCATCTGTTTTCAGTCTTGTAAATGTAATTGTAAATCTACAGTTGGGTTGTTTGTGGGTTTTTATTTTGACAAACACTAACAGTGGTACGACAGTGCTGACAGCGGTTAGCACAAGGAACTTCTTTCTTTTATATGAAGACATTGATGCTTTCATAGGACTTTAATAAAGTGTTCTTAACATGATATGTTTGTTTGTGTTCTTGCTGTCAGATAAACTACAGAACAGCTTCTAATCACTTCACTGTGTTGTGTCACTTCATATTGGAGTCAGTTTGATGGCAACATGTCATAAAGAACTTTTGACTATAACTAAACATTGGTTTTACTTCATGTCATTTTTCCCAATGATGCTTTTAATTTGTGACACATTTTATTTCATAATGTGACTTTTCATGACAGTGATGATGTCACCACCTTCTCCCCTTGCAGCCAATCACATAATTATATACAGAGCACCTTTAATACACAAAATGTAGTTTAAAGTGCTTTACAAAATACATATCACTCAATACATTTAAAACAAAAAATGAAGTAAAATAATACACATAAACAGGACTTGAGGAAATTTGGGCACATCCATAAACTGATTGTTCTCAAAGGAGTAGTTCAGACAACTTTAATTTATCCCCCATGGGCAATTCATTTGTAGGTTCCCAGTCCATACATTCGGTTTCAACAGACGACCAACCAACCAGATATAGTTAAAATATCAGAGGAACAGTTACAATAAGTAAAACAATAAATAAAAGCAATAAATAGAACAACATATCCAATGAATTACTCTAAAATAGCAATCATTTAAAATGAGTATTGTCTGTGTTGAGCAGCCGAACAGCAGAAGGAATAAAGGACTTAGAATGAAAATATACAGACCCTTATAGCCCTCCATATGGACTGTCTGGTAACCACAATACTGGAGCCGTTTACATTTATTTCTAATGTCTGACCAGAGACACCGTCAGAGATAGAAACCAGAAGCAGATCCAGACCAAGTCCAGGCTCAGTGACCACAAACTGGCAGTCGACATAAAAAATCATGGCAACCCAAAGAAAACAGAACATGTGGTCACTGTTCAACAGGTGAGGCTGAGACAGATGCACTCAGTTCTGTAATTAAAAATGTAAATGAACTTCATGACATCTCAACACTAAAAATACTCCCAGGAGGAGACATGGGAGATATACCTAACACACACACACACACACACACACACACACACACACACACACACACACACACACACACACACACACACACACACACGCCAAGAAAGCACCTTTAAGACTCTATGTTGAACCCACACACTAAAGGAGCAGATACAGTAGATCACTGTTTTCTGCAGCTTTTAGTCGACATGTATTTCAGATAGGCTGCAAACACTTACCTCTTCACCTCTAATGTAAGTTCATCTCCAGATGATATCTACACAGCTGAGCAAAGAAAACATCTGGAACCATTATCACAAAAAATATTATATGCTGATTGGATCAGGTTACTCAAAGGCAATAAAAATGTCACTAGCATTAAAGATATTCCATGAATTAATTTTTTTCTAATTTTGCCACTTTCTACAAGGACTGCTAGTTGTTGGTTTACAAATTATTTCTCTCTCTCGCTCTTTAAAAAACGTAACAATCAATTAGTAATAACAGCATAAATGTATGACACGTGTATTTAAAATGTATATGTAACACTTAATTGATTATTTATTTACATTTATATTGTTTATTCATTTGTATTGTTTAATTGTAACATACTATATGTAATATTTGAATCATCTGTAAACATGTTTTAGTTCATGCCAATAAAGTTATTTGAATTAAACAAGTAAAAACTGGGATTATTTTTTCTTTATTTACTGATTTCTAAATATCTATGTTGAATCGAACAACACACATATTTGTGATTACCATGGTGGTTACCTATGGTAGTTACACAGGAATGGGCCCGGGGCGTCACGTTGCTATGGCAACTCAGAAGCGAAGCCATATAACAACGCTAGAATCATGTCTACGTCGGTGGCGAAGGAAGAAAGAAAGAAGAGACGTACTTTGGTGCTGAGGCCGTAAGTACATTTGTTCATAGGAAGTCATTAAAAGCAAACAGTCGCTGTGGTACTTCACTGTCTCAGCTCCTCTGTGTTACTTCACTGTCTCAGCTCCTCTGTGTTACTTCACTGTCTCAGCTCTTCTCGAGCTCAGAACGTCTCCGTGTCCGGAGCTCATGGACTCAACCAGAGACACACCAACAGCGTCGCCGGGTCCTGCAGCCGGAGAAGCTTCAGTCTGGGCGGAGGCAGCAAAGTTCTGGAAAAGAGCGTCGTTCAGACTCCTAGACAAGCGGCTCGGGTGATTTAACCATGGGATACACGCTACACATAAATGATGCGTTCAGGTGCTCCTCGGTTTGTCCCATTTGCCGAATAGAGAAGTCGTTCTACCGAATGAACTGTGTTCATGTGTTTACGGTCTGAATGTGGAAACAACATCAATGTTACAAAGATGCCTAAAATAACTTTTCTAACTAATCATATCATTCTTCACGGACGGCAACCACCGGTTACAACCTAGGGGCATATTACAAATTAAATTTTAGCCAGAAAAATGATATGCAATACGTGAATTTGAATGATTAATCAAAAGTTTGTCACCATTAACCATCAACCAAACATTCACTTTCGTCTGTCGTGTTTCTGAAGGTGTGACACCACATGAATGCAGGGATAATCTTAGACCTGCGTTATTGCTGTTTATAGCTAGTCGTTTATACTGTATAGAAACTTACATTTATGTGGTGTCGGAATAATTGAAAAAATAAGTTTCCGACTGGGAAAATTTATGTGAGCAACCCCCCACGTCAGAACAACTGTGACAGTTTGTGAAACTTTTGATACAGGACATTCACCGAGTTGTGACGTCATTTACGCAGTAAAATGGTGGAATGGTGGCGGCTTCCATATATATATATATATATATATATATATATATATATATATATATATTATACGTATATAATATATATATATATACTGTTGCTCATAAAGTTGGAATAAAATATTTTTTACCTCTTTCCATGAAATGATTGTGACAATGTGATTTATTTCATTTCACCTGGGTAATTGGGGACACATAATGCAATTATTGCACCTGGTCAAAAGTGATTACTGATGCATTTATAGGAATAGGAATAAACAGAGGATTGTGTCTGAAAACAAATTATTCCAACTTTATGGTAACAGTATATATATATATATATATATATATATATAATATATATGATATATTTTTTTTTTTAATTTTAATTTTTTTGATAAAAATTGAATTTGTAATATGGAATTAGGTTGTTGTAACAGGTAGTTGCCATCTACGTAGAGTGACATAGATTACTTAGAAGAGTTATTTATCAGCAGTGACATGAATACTGGGAACAGCTATCAACGTTGTGTTATTGCTCTGAGCAATCACATCTTCTTTGTAGCGTCCATGTTGTTTCCACATTCAGACTTAAAGCACATGGCCACACCAAAGTGGGAAGAATGACTTCCCAACTCAGAAATTGGGACTGTCCTTAGAGCACACAAATGCAGCATTATCAGTAATATTGTAGCTAACTGTGGGTAATATCTCCTGTGTTTCAGGTGTTTGACGAAGAAGACAATGATGTCACTCCTCTGCCGCTGTACCAGGCAGATCCAGGATCAGTGCAGGCCAGAGCCAGCAGGTTCTTTGTGGATGAAATTTCTACTGGATCAGCATCAGACCAGACAACAGCCACGGGCAGCTTCACCATGCCGTTTTCCAGGTACCATGACAACAGGCTGATATTGGTCTACAGCAGCTGGAGCTGATCTGAGGCCATTTTCTCAATTAGGCAAACTTTGTGAAATATATGATATATGATTCAGCAGTGAATCAATAAAATCAGCTGAATGTAGGATTTATTGATAAGACATAAAATGGTAATTTTATTTTTGCAATGTGATTGTTATGGTTAAGAATGTACTAAATCATATGTAATAATAGTGGTTGTGTCTGTTTTTGTAGCTTGTGTAAAGCGTAAATTGTCACACATTCCATCTTGCTCTTTCCTCAGGTCAGTGTTTGGCAGCAGCAGAATATCCAGCCAGTCTACAATAGAGTCAATGAACGAGGAGATTGAGGACACGATCTCCAAACGAGACATGCCCATCAGCTTCCCAGGTTCACTACAATAGTTTATTTTCCTTTCATTAAAAAACAAATATACATTTTCTCTGTTTTGTTATATTGTTTATTTCTTAGTCATACATTTTTGAGATTCATCATTAACGACAATAAGTTGATTTAAAATAAGTATGAGTGAATGTCACAGTTCTCTGTAGCAGGCAGCTGTAACATACCGTTTGTGGTATTTGGTTTTTGTGTCTTTTGTTCCTTCCTCCAGATGTGCAGGGGAAAAGAGAATCTGTGAGAGAACAGCTGACAGAGGAAATGTTGAGAGAAGTCATAGATGTCTACATCTCTGAGACAGACAGCATTTCACTGCTGGACATACCCAGCACCTTGGTGTCAGTGGACGCTGATGATGCAGAGGTGATTGTGTAAGTGAAGTTCTCCTCTTCCTAAACACCTTCACTATTTGACAAAATTTGAACAAATCCAACTTTGAGTAGTGCTACTGAAAGACTTTCCCCAGAAAAGACGTGGCTGTGGAATAGAAGTGAGTTTTATCTGTTGATAAGTGATTGAAAAATGTTATTCTATTTTTTTGTTTTAACAAGCTGGTGTCATCTTCACCTTGTTTGTACAGAGTGAGGAACAATCATTACGCTGATGTCTGCAGGAATAGAATGGGCAATGATAAGTACACGGATCAATCAGTGCAGACGCTGAACGGAGCAGCTAAGAACAAACATGTCCAGAGTGACAGCATCGTCATGGTGGACACAGGTCAGCTCACAGTCTTCAAGATGCATTAAGTGACTTGGGGGCAGCGAAAAAAGCTGAAAAACTCAACACTGACATATTATCACATTATAAAGTTGCTATGTTAACAAGTCCACATACTGCTGCCTGTTTTAACATCCAGCAGATAAGGAGCATCATCATCATAAATCTAATATTAATGTTTCTTTCAGCTCTGTTTTTGGTCTCTACCAGCTCCTGAGAGAATATCCAGCTCTTTACCTGGTAAATACTTTACTATGTAAAAGCAGTGTGCTGGGTCGTGTACTGTGGGTTTGTCAGAGCTGGAAATGAGGCTGATGTGATGGGAGTGTGCTAAAACAATGAGCTAACAGAGGTTAGAAAGTCCCTTCTGTCATATGACACAGTGTACTTACAGTGTAAATATAAAAATATTGATTAGTGCTACTTTAGAGAAGTTATAATCATTATTTGTGAAAACAGTGTGACAGTGTGAAAGGGGTCACTCATAGTGATGAACCTACCAAAGATTATGAGATGAACCCACGGTTCCTCTCAGCTTTACTGAGCTTTATAGTGACTTTCACCCAAGCCTCAACCTCCAGGGCTGAAACATGAAGCCAACACTGAAGTGCAGAAACCTGCAGTTCCTCTAATGACCACTAGAGTCTGGCTCCGACAGTGAGTCAGTCCCCATAGACTCCCATGTTAAAATGTCCAACTTTACAGCAGAAATAAACATGTTTACAGCCTGGTACAAAAACAGTTTTGGTCTCTAGAGCTAATTTCCTCCTTCATGACAACTGTTTATATAACTCACCTGTTTACATTTTATTAAGGCTTAAAGTTATGGAGAATTGAGGGTGTGGCCACATTGAGTGACAGGTGGGTGAGCATATGCATTCCAACCATGCACCAAAGTCTCAGCTCCACATGCCCCTCCTCCTTGACCATTTTTGGATTAGCTGGAAGTTAGGGGCGGTGTCAGACACTGCCAAGATGGCGATGGTGGAGCAGCTCACTCGGAGTTTCAGAAACCTGTGGGTGATGTCACAGAGGCAAAGTCCATCTTTGTTTGCAGTCTATGGTCTCAGCTCATTGTTTATCTGTCCAGAGACAACTTCACTGTCCTGGTTGACTGTCACTGCTCTCATAGTTGTTTTCAGCAGCAGCAGCAGCAGCAGCAGCAGCTGTTTTCAGAGGAAAAGTCAGACTCAGTCAGAGAGCAGCTGGTGAACATAGTGGAGCATTTAGCAGCTAACGAGCTAGATATTTCCCTCAGGACCTAAATTTGACAGAATATTGGACTCAGCTGACTAGACACACAACTCTGAATGAATGATAATGTTGCTCAGAAAACAACTATAATAACTTAGATATGTCAATGCTGTGTAACAAGTTGTTTTTGCTGCCCCCATGTAGCCAGAATAACCTGTTTTTATAGGTTTAAAGTGGATGACAGGCAGTGATTGTTTTTACAGTCTTATAGCTGCATTAACTGATGCTCGTGCAGTTCCACTGATTGGCTGTTGGTGGCAGTGACTGCAAAGACAGTGAAGAAGAAGACTGCTAGCTAGCAAACCTAAATGTAATTGAAAATGTTTTTATTTTCATGAGTAAGTGAATGCATTCAACACATTTGTGAGGCATCAAAGATACAGTTTTTTGGTGGAGTCCAAGTCCAAGGTAAGGTCTCTAAATGTCTTGTTTTGTCCGACCAACTGTCCTTAACCCAGAGACATTCAGTTTACTAGAACAGAAGAGAAAGAAAACCTGAAAATATTCACATTCAGAAAGCTCAAATTAATTAATATTTATGTCAGGCCGAGACTCAAAGCAGGACTCAGATGCAGAGATGTTAGAAAACCAAAGGCTTTTATTGAATTCACTGGAGACCTCAGACAGAGTGACAAAGCAATGGCTATGAAAAAAAAACTAGACACTAGACTCTGAATCTTAGGAACAAAAAACACTCCAGGAGGAGGAAAAAGGAACTACTCAAAAGAAACAAACCAATAAACACAAAACGCTCCGTACAGAGGAAAATCCTGACTATATAAAAATAAACCAAAACAATAATCTACTCATGCTACTAAGCGGAGGATCTAGAATAATAAATAACTGGGCTACATGAAATGAAANTGTAACAAGTTGTTTTTGCTGCCCCCATGTAGCCAGAATAACCTGTTTTTATAGGTTTAAAGTGGATGACAGGCAGTGATTGTTTTTACAGTCTTATAGCTGCATTAACTGATGCTCGTGCAGTTCCACTGATTGGCTGTTGGTGGCAGTGACTGCAAAGACAGTGAAGAAGAAGACTGCTAGCTAGCAAACCTAAATGTAATTGAAAATGTTTTTATTTTCATGAGTAAGTGAATGCATTCAACACATTTGTGAGGCATCAAAGATACAGTTTTTTGGTGGAGTCCAAGTCCAAGGTAAGGTCTCTAAATGTCTTGTTTTGTCCGACCAACTGTCCTTAACCCAGAGACATTCAGTTTACTAGAACAGAAGAGAAAGAAAACCTGAAAATATTCACATTCAGAAAGCTCAAATTAATTAATATTTATGTCAGGCCGAGACTCAAAGCAGGACTCAGATGCAGAGATGTTAGAAAACCAAAGGCTTTTATTGAATTCACTGGAGACCTCAGACAGAGTGACAAAGCAATGGCTATGAAAAAAAAACTAGACACTAGACTCTGAATCTTAGGAACAAAAAACACTCCAGGAGGAGGAAAAAGGAACTACTCAAAAGAAACAAACCAATAAACACAAAACGCTCCGTACAGAGGAAAATCCTGACTATATAAAAATAAACCAAAACAATAATCTACTCATGCTACTAAGCGGAGGATCTAGAATAATAAATAACTGGGCTACATGAAATGAAAATTACTCTTAACGAGGAAAAACAAAGATCTATGAAGATATGCTAAGGCAAGAATTATAAACAAAAAAATCACTCTTAACAAGGAAAAACAAACGGCTATGAACTTAAAAATACAGACTGTAAAGCACACATACACTTGCCTGTCATCCACTTTAAACCTTATAAAAACAGGTTATTCTGGCTACATGGCGGCAGCAAAAACAACTTGTTTACACAGACATTGACATATCTAAGTTATATTATAGTGTTTTCTGAGCAACATTATCATTATTCAGAGTTGGTGTGTCTAGTCAGCTGAGTCCCAATATTCTGTCAAATTTAGGTCCTGAGGGAAATATCGAGCTCGTTAAGCTGCTAATATGCTCCCACTATGTTCACCAGCTGCTTCTACTGACTGAGTCTGACTTTTCCCTCTGAAAACCAGCTGTGCTGCTGCTGCTGCTGCTGCCTGCTTTGAAAACAACTATGAGAGCAGTGACAGTCAACCAGGACAGTGAAGTAGTTTCTCTGGACAGAATAAACAATGAGCTGAGACCATAGACTTGCAAACAAAGATGACGACTTTGCTCGGCTGCTGATGTACATCACCCACAGGTTTCTCGAAAATCCGAGTGAGCTGCTCCACCATCCGCCATCTTGGCAGTGTTCTGACACCGCCCTCCCCCTAATACTTCCAGCACTATCCAAAAATGGTTCAAAGGAGGAGGGGCATGTGGAGCTGAGACTTTGGTGCATGGTTTGGAATGCATATGCTCACCACCTGCTTCACTCAATGTGGCCACACCCTCATTCTCCATAACTTTAAGCCTTAATAAAATGTAAACAGGTGACTTATATAAACAGTTGTCATGAAGGAGGAGAATTAGCTCTAGAACCAAAACTGTTTTTTGTACCAGCTGTAAACATGTTTATTTCTGCTGTAAAGTTGGGACATTTTAACATGGGAGTCCTATGGGGACTGACTCACTGTGAGCCAGACTCTAGTGGTCATATGTTGAGAACTGCCAGGTCTGCACTTCACGATGTTGGCTTTCATGTTTCAGCCCTGCTGAGTTGGGCTTGGGTGAAAGTCACTATAAAAGCTCCTAAAGCTGAGAGGAACGCGCGGTTCATCTTCATACTTTGTGTAGGTTCATCACTATGAGTGACCCCTTTCACACTGTCACACTGTTTTCACAAATAATGATTATAACTTCTCTAAAGTAGCACTAATCAAGTATTTATATTTACTACTGTAGTACACTGCTCTCATTAGTAGAAGACTCTCTAACCTCTGTTTAGCTCTTGTTTTAGCACACTCCCATCACATCAGCCTCATTTCCAGCTCTGTACAAACCCACAGTACACGACCCAGCACACTGCTTTTACATAGTAAGAGATTTACCAGGTAAAGAAGCTGGATATTCTCTCAGGAGCTGTAAAACAAAACAGAGCTGAAAGAAAAATTAATATTAGATTTATGATGATGATGCTCCTATCTGCTGGATGTTAAAACAGGACAGCAGTATGTGGACTTGTTAACATAGCAAACCTTTTATAATGTGATAATATGTCAGTGTTGAGTTTTTCAGCTTTTTGCTGCCCCCCAAGTCACTTAATGCATCTTGAAGACTGTGGAGCTGACCCTTCCACCATGATGATGCTGTCACTCTGACATGTTTGTTCTTTAGCTGCTCCGTTCAGCGTCTGCACTGATTGATCCGTGTACTTATCATTGGCCCATTCTATTCTGCAGAACTCATCAGCGTAATGATTGTTCCTCACTCTGTACAAACAAGGTGAAGATACACCAGCTTGTTAAAACAAAAAAATAGAATAACATTTTTCAATCACTTATCAACAGATAAAACTCCACTTTCTATTCCACAGCCACGTCTTTTCTGGGGAAAGTCTTTCAGTAGCACTACTCAAAGTTGGATTTGTTCAATATTTGCAAATAGTGAAGGTGTTTAGGAAGAGGAGAACTTCACTTACACAATCACCTCTGCATCATCAGCGTCCACTGACACCAAGGTGCTGGGTATCTCAGCAGTGAAATGCTGTCTGTCTCAGAGATGTAGACATCTATGACTTCTCTCAACATTTCCTCTGTCAGCTGTTCTCTCACAGATTCTCTTTTCCCCTGCACATCTGAGGAAGGAACAAAAGACACAAAAACCAAATACCAACAAACATATGTTACAGCTGCCTGCTACAGAGAACTGTGACATTCACTCATACTATTTAAATCAACTTATTGTCGTTAATGATTGAATCTCAAAAATGTATGACATAAGAAATAAAAAATATAACAAAACAGAGAAAAATGTATATTTGGTTTTTTAATGAAAGGAAAAATAAAACTATGTAGTGTAGAACCTGGGAAGCCTGCATGGCCGAATAGTCTGAGCGGTTGATGAGATGTACGTCCTCAGCGATTCAGTCCTCTGTCATTGTGACTCTATTGTGAGACTGGCTGGGATATTCTGCTGCTGCCTAATCAGCTGACATGAGGAACAGAGCAACGATGAATGTGTGACATTTACGCTTGAGTTGATGACACAAGCTACAAAAACAGACTGCACAACTCACTGATTATTACCATGATGTATGTTAGTACATTCTGAACCATAAAATGCAGCATTGCAAATATAGAAAATTACCATTTAATGGTCTTATCAATAAATCCTACATTCAGGTGATTGATTGATTGACTTCACTGCTGAACTAGTATATGCATATATTTCAACAAACGTTGCCCTAATTGCGAGAAAGGTCCTCAGTAGCTCCAGCTGGCTAGGTGAAACAATATTGCAGGTGTTGCTATGGTGACCTGGAATAACGCATGGTGGAAGCTGCCTGTGCGCTTGGTTGTCTGGCTGCTCGGCATGCTGATTCGCAGGTAAGAAAATGTGGTATCCACAAAGAACTGCTGGGCTCTGCCTGCACTGAGATCCTGGATCTGCCTGGGTACCACAGGGGCAGGAGCGGAGTGACCATCATTGTCTATCTTGCGTGCAAAACACCTGCAACAACACAGAGATATTTCACCCAGCAGTTAGCTACAATATATTACTGATAATGCTTGCAGTTTTGTGGTGCTCATAGAGACAGTCCCAATTTCTGATTTGGAGAGTCATTCTTCCCACTTTGAGGTAGTGGCCATGGTGGCTTTAAAGTGCTGAATGTGGAAACAACATAGGACGCTACAAAATAAGATGTGGATTGCTGCAGAGCAATAACACAACGTGATAGGGCTGTTGCCCAGCTAGTGTCATGTGCACTGCTGGATAAAGACTCTTGCTAAGTAACTGCTATGTACTGCTACGTAGACTGGCAACCTACCTGTCTACAAACAAGCCTAGATTCCATATTACAAATTCGAATTTTGATCAGAAAAAATTGAAAAATTGAAAAAAACAATATATAATATTGATATATGATATGATATAGCTATATATAGTATGAACTATTACTGTTCCAATAAAAGTTTGGGAATAATTTGTTTTCAGACACGAATCCTCTGTATTATTCCTATGTCCTATAGAATGCATCAGTAATATCACTTTTGACGCAGGTGCAATAAATTGCATTATGTGGCCCAATTAACCGCGGTGAAGATGAAATAAATACACTTGTCACAATCATTTGCATGGAAAGAGGTAAGAAAATTATTTTATTGCACAACTTTTATGAGCAACAGTGTATATATATACCACTCATATAGTTAGTATATATGGCATATATATATGATATATGATACGTATATATATAATATAGTAGTATGATTGGAAGTGCCGCCACCGGTTGTGCGAACCCATTTTACGTGCGTAAGTAGAACGTCACAACTGCGGTCGAATGTCTTGTATCAAAAGGTTTCACAAACTGTCACAGTTGGTTCTGGCACTGATCCGTTCGCGCGCGCTGTTGGCTCACATAAAGTTTCCGCGCAGGTCGAGAAACTTAGGTTTTTCAATATTCCGACACTCCGACATAAATGTTGTACCAGTGTGTCTGTGATACAGTATAAACGACTAGCTATAAACAGCATGAACGCAGGTTTGGAAGATGTAGTCCCTGCATTCATCGTGGTGTCACAAGCCTTCAGAACTCACGACAGACGGAAAGTGATATGTTTGGTGATGTGTGTAATGGTCGGACAAACTCTGATTGAATATGGTCAAATTGCACGTTATGGGTGCAATATCATTTTGTCTTGGCTTAAATGTTAATGTTGGTAATATGGCGCCCTAGGTTGTAACCGGTGGTTGCCGTGCCGTGAAGAATGCTATGTATTTAGTTAAGAAAAGTCGGGATTTGTAGGGCATCTTTGTAACATTGATGTTGTTTGCCACATCAGACCGTAAACACAATAGAACACAGTTCATTGCTGTAGAACACCTGTCTCTATCGGCAAATGGGACAAACCGAGGAAGCAGCACCTAACGCATCATTTGATGTGTAGCGTGTATCCCAATGTTTGAAAATCACCCGAGAGCCGCTGGTCTGAGAGTCTGAACGACGCTGCTTTCCACCGATGACGGGTACTTTGGCTGCCTCCGCGCCAGACTGAAGCTTGCTGCCGGCTGCACGACGCAGCGGCACAGCTGTTAGGGTCGTGTCTGCTGTTGAGTCCATGGAGCTCCGGACACGGAGACGTTCTGAGCTCAGAGAAGAAGCTGAGACTAGTGAAGTAACCACAGAGAG